TATATATATGTATGAAAACCAACTCTCTATTTTCTCAATAGTTCAACAAAGATCATAACAGAAAACTGTCTTACTTTAGTGTCTCCAGTTTCTTTGTCCTTGTACTGAACACCCACGACACAGTCACCTTCCTCAAGCAATTGTAACACAGTCCCCTCAATGAATTTTGCACTGAAATAAAACAGAGGGGTTAGAACAGAATGGAAGAGGATTAATGATGCCAACATTTCAAGGCACTAGACACAGAAGGAAAACCGGATTTTCACTAATCTTGTTTCTGACAACACAAACACTTTGTTTAAATTTTACAGACAAAGCTGTGTTCTTGACCACCTTCAGAAGCCCCATGGAACGTCAAAAAGTGCTTGTCATTAATTTCAGTTCAACACTACCATTTGGTTTGATACTTGAGAATATTCTAAAACTGTAATGCTTATCTTAAACACCCTACCACTTAGCAGAATCCCCAGTTGTGCTTCAGGTGCTCCATGCCCATGTGAGAGATGCAGAGAGGAGTTTGACCCTAATAATGGTGAGAAACCAGGCAGCTGACTGAGTCATCCCTGCTACATGGTGGGAAATGCTGACAGTGCGGGTGAGACCTAATTCCAAGCAGAATTCAGGAGCAAGATCCGAAGTAGCACTTCAACACTTAACATGTACGCTAGATAACAGTGAGGTACCTAATTCTCAGAGTAGTCCAAAACAATCTAACCAACCTGTTTAGGACAAAGACATCCAGTTTTTCACCTCAGGAATTCAGGATACACTTTTTTTTTTTAATTGGCTATTTATGCTTTTGAAGTTCTGCTAATGCTAATGTTTGGAGTGAACATCCTCAACTTCCACAAGGGCTATTTGGGTCTCATAAATAAAATCTCTGTAAACTTAAATCTCTTGCTGGGTCTAAGCTGTCAGACCTGATCCCAGCAGTTCAGACTTAGCAGCTCGAAATGGACACTCTCTCTCCCTCACAAATATTTTCATATCCAGATGGAATTCCGCAACTTGGAGAAACGAGGTAAAGGTCCATGTGAGAATACAACAGCTTGGTATTTTAGGCTCTCAGAGGGAACATGAGCAATTGATTTCAAGTCTTTTCTACATGTCAGCCAGCACAGAAATTTCAGAGCAGATCGTGACTGGCTTAATTTGCCAGGCAACAGGCAGGTTAGCTGTATCAAAATACGAATGGTTATGTGTAAGCACACTAACAAAAACTTCCAACAGCAAGGGAATGCAGCAACATGTCAGGTTAATAGCAGGTGAATCAGAGTTCTGTGGATCCTATCAGCTTTAAATTTCTGTTATAGTTGTCATTTCAGTGATCTAAGTAAGTGCTCACTTTTTCTGGTTCTCATCCACTATAAAAATAATTAACTAATGAAGCCCTACTTCTTTCCTCTGCAAAATTAATTTTACTCATCTGAAATAAATTCATATTGCCTAGTACTTACAAAGAAGATATATTAATCAGTAGTAATTATCCCCTCTATTTTCACAAGTTATGAGATGAAAAACAAAGCCTCATGGCACTATTAAGAGTTCTTGATCTCTCCCACATCTTAATTTAACATGCAGTTTTCCATGCTACAATTAAAACGGAAAACAAACATACACAAAATGAACATTAAAGAGTTGGGGAAAGGGCAAGAATTGAATTCAAGTCACAAACATTAGCTTTTGTAAGTTTCTGCTTCAAAGATTGTGTATAGCTACTGGAGTTCTCCCGTAAGTTGAACAAACAGGTGTCCAAATTTCACTGAACTTGAAGCCTCAACAACAAAGCTTTAGCTTTTATAGCTAGTAAACGCGGTTGTCATTAATTTTAACTGTACTACAGAGCTGCTATCTTTTAGTGCTACTTTTAATAAGTCATATGATATAACAAGTATGATAGAAGAATGCAATTTTCCAGTTCAGAATAAAGTAAAAAGATGATAAAGCCACATTTCCCTTGTAAGCATTATTTAGGGAAAAAAAAAGACAAAACAAAAAAACACCCCACAGAAAACAGCACCTAGAATCTATTGTGTTTCAGTAAAAGTTTCCTTCTCATCTCTTGTATAAAAGAAAGCAATCGGTTAAAGAGGAAATACCAAACATTAATTTTTATTTCATTAGGAAGAGAAGGTGTCTTCTAGGTTCTGAAAACCAGAGGTTAATAACTGGAAAGAGCTACTTCCATTTAGTGCTTCTTTCTAGTTATTTTGCTTGACTTCTTGTTATCAGAAAAAGCAGAACAACATGCGAATGTAAAAGAGGCTTGATTTCTGGCATCACAGATAACATCAGTGGAAGAAATAAATGTCCCTGCTCATTGCAGGAGGGTTGGACTAGATGACCTTTAAAGGTCCCTTCCAACCCAAACCATTCTATGATTCTAAGAAATTATACCAAATTTGCCACTCATTTCTTGACCAAAGAAGTTCTACACCTTGCTCACTGGGAAGAGGTCGCTGCTTCTGGTAAAATGCCAAACCCAAGAATCAGTAGAAAAGAATCAACTCTTTACCCATCTTACATGGATGGGCCAGTACCTCGCCTAATATTTAAAGCCTATATTCCCTTAGTTTAAAGATTAACTTGTCTGAAAGGCTAGCGTATGATGTATACGCAACTCATGAACATGTCCACAGAAATCAGAGCGAGTAACTATAGCTGTTACTTTCTCTCAGTCTTGTTCACTGCAGCCTTCTGTGTAGGGACAGAATGAAATGGTTAAGGAATCTCACGGATGCTGGGAACAGTGCTTCTGAATCTCTGGATCCCAGCTGTGATGTTCACAAGGTGACTCACTTGGGCTCTGCCATAGCTGCCCTTCGGAGACCCATGATGAACTGGCCATGATGAAAAGATCTTCCACTGGCCACGCAGCCATCCTCATACATTGGATAAGGAATTTCAACCTCCGAGTTGCTCTCTATGTCATGAATTATGTAACCATTTACTATTTGTGAATCAATACCTTCTACCGTATCTGCAAAATATAAGCCAATAGATAAGTTAAAAAAAGGTTTTAAGAAAGCTTAATTATATATGAAAATTATTTCTTTACATAGAGTCCAATTTTCTTAATCAAAACACATGTTGAAGGACAAATATTTTCAGAATGGCAGACTGGAAATACGGAATTTTAATTCAAATATTAAGCATAGATATTGTATTTCTACATATGTAAGTATTACTCAAGATCATGTATTTTTTCATTTTCCCTGTAGGCATGCTTCTTCTAATAATTGGGTGCAGTAACTTTTGTGTTATAGATATATTTACATTTTGAAATGCACTCACCTTCAAGACCCAAGTCTCTAAGTGCTTTAAAACCTCCAGGTTGCAACAATTCTCCAACTATCCTGTCAGGTTCTTTCAGATCCCTCTCTATCACAGTCACCTTTCTTCCATCCCTCGAGAGCACCGTGGCCAAGGAAGAACCAAGGACGCCTGATCCCACAATGATAATTTCTGGATCGTATTGGGGCGATAATGTTGTATTTGGAGCAGTCTCTGTCAGATATACATCTGAGAAGTTTACTTCTCTTTTACCCTTTAGAAAAGAAAGCCAACAAAGTTACATGTGCCAATGTATCTGTACCATAACCTTGTTGTCAGAGGGCTGACTTCGGACTGGTTCTACTTTGACCCAGGGGACTGAGAGCGCATTGGTAGTTGGAGAGCATCTTCCAGTTTAGTTTTGCCCAAAACAAAATCAGTTGTACTCTACAATGCAACAAAACCACAACAAACAGAAAAGAAAAAAACAACACCCCCCCAAACAAAATCAAGGTACTTGCTTAAAGTACTTGCCCCAGTGATCAAAGACAAACCACTAACATAGTCTCAGAGAGACTGAAAGTCAAGTTCCTATAAAAGGCAGTAAGCCATGGCTGTCCCATATTCTTGGTCTGCAAAGTAACACACCAATGCCTTCATACCAGTGAGTCACTACTACATGGAGGCCTTAGCACTTTGCAATGAAAAAGGTTATCAGATTCACTGGAAAGTGTATTTCTCTTTAATTTTACTGTAAGTGAACCCACCTACCAAAATAACAGCTTATGGTAATACTCAGCATGGAAAAGTGTCAGCAGAACCAGCCACCTGGGAAATTTTATAAAGAAATGGTCCCAAAATGAAAACTTGTCAGACAGTCAAGAACAGGCAAAATTACCATTCACCTACATTTAAAACTGTTAAGAATTGACGTACATCAGATTACATATCAGTTAACATATAAACTGGTACCTGAAGACCAGCTATGTTATAGTACCTTCCCAACAGCATCTAATCACATACACTTCAAAGTGAAAAAAAATTGCAAGGGCAATTCCAGTCCAAATCTGCAAGTCATTTCTCTACCTGGTAGAACAGAATTCACTCTTTCACAAATACCTCAGCACCACAGTGCTGACAGTGGTAAAAATACGATTGCATCAGTGAAACAAATGCCCAGAACAACACTGACACCAGGATTTCTAGTGGCGTAGTGTCATGTTTATATCTACAGCGCAGCAAGGGTGTGCAAAACTAACTATCTGATTCAGATAATACAAGAAATTGGGGTAAAGGCAGGCTTTACCAGAAAAACAAAATAAAAATCCAGAACCTTTGACTTGCACCCAAAAATAGTTTCAAGTTCTTTTGTGTAAGGGGTCAGCGCCCAGCTGAAAATGCCTAGAAGCACACAGGAAAGTAGCCAAACAGTCCTGACCCACAGATGTACTGAATATGCACATCCAGTCGGTAGTCTTAGATGGCAGGATTCCAGCTAAGCTCCAGCCACGAACTACAGCTCTCTCCACTGTCTCACAGCAAGTCTCACGCTGGGCTCAGTGGAACAGACTGACCATCTGAGCTCAACTCCTGTAGCTATTGTACAAGCAATAATTTAGCAATAATTTTCAAATAACTGTATCTGCAGTTGTCTAGACAGATGTGTTTTATACAGAACTATTAGGAAGCTGATCACAGAATAGCTGAGGTTGAAAGGGACCTCTGGAGGTCATCTGGTCCAAAGCCCCCCTGCTCAAGCAGGGTCAGTTGGATTGCCCAGGACCACATCCAGTTGGGTGTTGAGTATCTCCAAGGATGGAGACTCCATCACCCCTCTGGGCAACCTGCTCCAGGGCTCGGTCACCCTCACAGTGAAAGACTGTTTCCTGATGTTCAGAGGGAACATCCCGTGTTGCAGTTTGTGCCCATTGCCTCTTGTCCTGTCACTGGGCATCCCTGAAAAGAGCCTGGCTCCGTCTTCTTTTCACCCTCCCTTCAGGTATTTATATACATTGATGAGATCCCCCCTGAGCCTTCTCTTCTCCAGGCTGAACAGTCCCAGCTCTCTCAGCCTCTCCTCATAGGAGAGATGCTCCAGTCCTTCGTCTGGAGCAACTGAAGATATTTTTCTGCTAGTGTAATAATCCTTTACCACAAATCTTTCTTCAAACACTTATTTGATTTGACTCTACAAAACCCCTGCTGTACCGCTTAAATAAGTTTCACTGTTTCTTTTGTCATCCAAAACTAACACAAAACATGACAAATCAGACATCCAGCATCTACAGACAAACCTTCTCCAACCCTTTCTAAGCTCCTTTCCCTCACCAAGGCAGAGGGCCAGTGGCCAGAGGGAACAGCAGGAGGACGTTGCACCCCACATGCCACATCTGAATTCAACCTACCTTTCTGGATTTGGGTTGTTCAACTTGTTGAGATCCTGGGGTGGGTTTTGCCCAGAAGAAGCCAACAAGCGGTAAAGCTGAAAGAACATCAGAGAGCATCCCCAGGTGGGTCTTCCGCTGCTGCTGCTGCTTGGGCCCCCTGAAGTGGTACCTGTACGATAGCAGCAAGCCGAGGGAGAAAAACACTAACACAGAGAGTAGCACCTCCTTATTAGCGTAAGTCATGAGGTCTCCGCATTTTTTATACACGTAGATGAAGGAGGCGATACCCAGAAAGGTCCACATCGTGAGGGGACTGGTCACTGTTCCTGGTTGCTTCCTCCAAAGCTTTCCCGTCGATGGATGCTGCCCAAAACAGGGTTTTGTGCCAGGTATGAAAAAATATATGTATAGAAACGCAAAGACTTGCTTTGCGATGGGAGAGAGATCTCAATGAAAAAACAAGGAGTTCCACAAAACCCTGTAGAGGAATAAGCCCCCCCTCGCTGGGCTGCCACAGGAGCCCAGAGAGAGGTTCCAAAAACGCTCCCCCCCAAAAAAAATCAATATAAAACGTCTTCTTAAAAATCACCGCGCTTCCCACAGCACCTTAAGAAAATGCACC